CATGGTGGGGGTAGGGGGTAAAATGTGGGGTTGTGAAGTCCAACTCATCTAAAGGTGGCTTTGTTTGAGAAACACTGAACTAGAGTGAACAATTAAAAGTTATACATAAACAATGAAAATCTAGAGCAAGTAGATGGACTTGTGCACTTAGTAAAACATTTATTGAAATTTAAGGTACGGAAGGGCTGATAAAAAGGTAGAGGACCATATGGGATCTGTGGTGAGGAACAAACGTTTGTCAAAAATAGCTATGCATAAAGTCTGCTTCTGCCTGTTCTGTGACACAGAAATGAGACTTGGTCATGTCTGGAGAAACAAAAGTACGTTCAATGTGGCTGGAAAAATGTGCTGCACAGAAGAAATAATTCTACTTTTCTACTTTCTTGTAGACATCATTCCAACTTGACCACAAGAAATAATGTTGACCAGTCTTTCCATTAACTCAATAGCAAGCTGACTAGTAAACAGAAAGCAGATGTTAATGATCCAAGACTATAAATCTGAAGTCACAATATCTTTCCAAAAATAATAAGTGATGTTCGTTGCTGCCCCCCTGCTTGATAAATCCATAATTCTTCATAGAAAAGCTGACTAGTAAACAGAAAGCAGATGTTAATGATCCAAGACTATAAATCTGAAGTCACAATATCTTTCCAAAAATAATAAGTGATGTTCGTTGCTGCCCCCCTGCTTGATAAATCCATAATTCTTCATAGAATGATAAATTCCAAATTGTTGGTATCTAGAGGCATGTATACCACCATGAGGTGACCAAAAATAAAGGTGAGATAAAATCAAATAAATCAATATTTACACTATATTGAACTTGGTAACAATCTATTAACTAACTTAAGGATATCAAACCAAAACTGAGCAATAGTAAGACGAGCCCATAACGTATGAGTGAGCATCCCTTCATCATTTTACACTTCCAGGAGTATACACCAGGAGTAGTAAAAAGAGTCAAGATGGCAACTGCGATGGTATGATTGAACCGCCATCTGTTTTTCATGTGCAGAGCTTTGATAGCCACCATCTTGACCTTTTTCACCACAACCTGTGGACACCCCTGCTTCCAGCATAATGCAAATGATAGCCAACCCTGTTTAAGCATTTAAATGTGGAAAACAATCTTTCATTCAGTCGCTCTCCTCTAACATCCTTAATTCTCTTTAAGACTGATTTATTAATGTGGTCTATTTCAACATTCTATTCCAGGGTTCTTGCAGATTGCTGATATCCTTCTTAGTGATACTCCAGACTGCTTATTAAAAAATTACTACAGCCTTAGAATCATCTAAAGCACATTCTGATGGTGATTTGAGAGTTTTGAAAACATTTTACATGTCTTCCACTGTGGACCATGGGTTTGGGGGCATTGTTTGATTGGACCTGCTTATCTGTGTATTGGTTAATGAGTGTGTGATAAGAGAGGATGTGGGCTGGCCTGTTTACTCCTTTCTGTGTCAGCCCTTCAAGGTAGACTAGATCAGAAACAGGACTCCACAGGAAGACTAGAACGCTACTTTCTTGAGATAGGCTATAAACAGAAACCTGCAAGTTGGTCTGTGTCTTCGCTTCCCTCCCTTGTATAACCCATTAAGTCAAGGTGGGGAGCTAGTCTGAGTCTCTCTGTAACACCCTCCCATCTTTCTGACCTCAGTGCCCATTTCTTCTGCACCTGGTGTTTCCCTAGCAGCTTCTGGATTCCTTCTCCTAGGTCATCTCCCTGGATCTCTCCATTCTTTAACAGTTGGTTGCTCTTTCTGACTGGCTTATAACTGGGCTTTATTTCTATACATCTGTTGATGCTAATTTGTCAGGGTGCCAGGTTTTGAGGCACATTTACCCCCAAATTCAACCAAATTTGATAGGACAAATTGCTACTTCTAAACAACCCCCAGAACCCATTTCTCTAATTCTGAGAACTGATGATGCCACCTACTCTGGTGATGAAACATCTGCAAGAAGAAAATCAAGCCCAGATAGCATGGAATACCCAACAATTGAACAAATGAGCTACATATGTTCTCTGCTATTGGAGTGTTAATATTTAGTTGAATCCATTCTTCCTCCCCACCCACCGCACAATATGTCCTCTTCCACTGACTGCCCCACAACCGCAAAGCATAATAGAGCCACTTCTGGGCTTAATGACTGGCAAGGTGCCCTTTCTCCACATGTCTCTGGAGTAGCTGGAGCCAAACCGTCCCATTTTTGTTTCATCCATCCAAAACAGTTTGTTACAGGACCCTTCAAGGATTTCTTCTGCCCCTGTTAGACAATGACTTTGGTGATGGACAGAGAAAAGGCTTCCTTCTGGCCACCTGTGGACAATTACTCCAGTGCTAACTAACTTTTCACCAGGTGATCCAGGAGCTTTGTTTTGCAGGTCAGACCAACTTTGGGGCAGTTCTAGCAAGGATTGTTCTTGTCCTTCAAGCTACAATCTAAGCCTCCTCTCTCCTAGTCATGTGACCCTAGAGCATATATGCAGTCTTCTCTGTGATTCCCAGTACTGTACATATGAACGCAAAGATGCAGTGGAAAGGAAACACGTTTCTTTGTTATACAGAAGAAAATAGAGATGCTTCCTATGGCCCCAGCTGGTGAGGGGGTTGGAAAGAATTCAAGAAGCCAACTTCTCCATGCTTTCTCCCTTATTTTTCTTTTCATCCAAATGGAATGGTGGGGGATAATATGCAAAAACTGCCTCTCCGTCAGCTCAAAAATTGTCCAAGAAGGGTTTTTTTTTTTTTTTTTTACATCAATACAGAGCCTCCTGGATGTTTTTCTCTCTTTCCAGTGTACCATATAGTTCTAAAATTTCCTGGTGGATAGGAGACTTAGATGGAACCCTAGCTATGGCTGATAATGATTAGCTTGTACGTATGTAAGTATGTTTAAATAATATTTTTTTACAAAAATAAAAGATAAACATGGAAAAATATAGAAGGAAAGTAGGAAAGAAAGAAA